ACGTCAGATGTAGGGAGTATACATAGGTCTATTGTCTATTGTCTGATTGAAATTTGTTGATATTGTATGTGAAGTGAAATACTCGAGTGAGGAGAGAAAGAATTACCCTTAGCCGAATTTCGTAAGATTATTTACTAATTTGTTCCTATGAAATACCTTAAAACTATTGAATTTACAGACTAAACCTACAGATTAAAACTAGATCTTAAAGATCCGTATATTGTTCGCACCTAGAATTGTTTGGGCACTAAATTGTAAGTACGAATTTGTTGAACTATTCAAGCTGGTTAATTAATCAATAAAATTTACAGCTTGAGCCTGTCTTGAACCATAAAAGGACTTTGCTTCAAGAATCCCTAACGTTGCGAACAAATTCTCAAGAATTTACCGACTACGGTTCTTGGAATGACGCGAAAGACGCGTTTACAAACAAAAGCCCAGCGAATGGCAGCAGATGCGGCTGCGGCTGCGGCTAATCGGAAGAAAAATGTCGTCGCAAAGAGTGGTGCTACCAATTCGGCATCTAACCATGCGAAAGAGGCGACAATGACTGGTATTGTTTCCGAAGAGAAAATTGTTTCCCAACCGGCACCTCAGGATGGATGCGTGACGTCAGCGATCGATAACGGGGAAGAACATGACTGTCCTAGCTGTGACCGCCCGAACAACGCTGAACGTTATCGGCTGCAGTGTAAGAAGTGTACCAAATGGTACCACATATCATGCGCCAAAATGAGCGACGACGCTATACTCACAGATGTGTTTACGTGTCTTGCCTGCATCCCACGTAATCCAGCACCATCTGTACCGAACTCTGTAGCAGGACAATCTAGCACTTCCAGTGCCAGGAGAGTTAGATTAGCTCGTGAGCTGGAGTTGTTGGAGGAAGAAAGAAGGTTGCAAGAAGAAGCTCAACAGGAACAGCTGGAACGAGAACGGCTGATGAACGGAAGGGCTGCGAAGGAGAAAATCGAGCGCGATCGGCAGTATCTTGCCAAAAAGCGTGATCTGCTGATTCTACAAGAAGAGGAAGACGAAATCTCAAGCCTAAGGAGTCATCGTTCCAACCGATCAGCAGCGAAACGGGTCGAAGATTGGGTCGTCGAGCAGGTGAATGAAGCCAGCCATATTGGTCCCGACGTCGTTGTAGAGACGTCCAAGCCAGACGAACCAACTCACCATACGCCAGCGCATTCGGTGGAAGCTCCAGTTAAGCAACGGACTTCTACTCCAATTCAGGATAAGCTGCTAGAACCTTTCCCTCTTCGAAACGATCCTGTTAATTTCAACGACATCAACCTTTCGACCGGTAGTATCACTATCGGTGAAAATGAGCTGGATGGCGCTGTCGGAGGAGATGTCATTTCGATAGTGAACCTTCAATCGTTGCGGAATATCCTGGATGAACCAAAGCCTGTCGTGTCACGTACTGGTACAGTACCGAAACTTGCGAGAAGAGCAGTGGTACCGTACGACCAGCGGCAAGGTGAAACGGTCAATCGCCGGAGATCGAACGAGTTGGAGCTGCGTCACAAGCAGGACATCGAAACGCGAAGGAAACGGGAACTGGAACTAGTTGAACAGATTAAGTGTTTGCAGCTTCAAAAGGATGCGGACGTGGAACAACTCCGCAGGCAAGAAGCAGATACTAGGAAGCAGCTGCAGCAGATGGCTGAAAGACAGACCACCATGGAGGAGCAACGACAGCAGGAATCGAAGCGACGTGATGCAGAGATGGATCGTCTACGAGCTGCGGAACAGCAGCTGAAGAATCAGCTCGAGTCGATGCGACTGCAGCAGCGACAGCAAGCACCTAAGAAACAACCCGACCTCCACCCATCACCACAATTTCGCCAAGATCAACAGGGTTACCCAGTTTTGCAGCAACCGGAGGAATTCCCAGGGATTAGAAGGTTTGGTAACAGTCCCTGTTCGGTAAGTGCTGCACCACCTATTCCTAGCGTAATAAATACAGACCCTCATCCAAACTACCCCATGTATGACTACCACCCCTCAATATCTTCGACTCCAATCGGAGGTCGCTCTTCATACTCCGTCCCAAACTCAATACCGGTAATACATCCACCACTACCTCCACGCGTGCCTCAGGTGGGCGATTACTTTCCTGGTCCATCAAATCCCCTGATCGCCGGTGGCGGTTTGCAACAAGAAGTGCTTCGTCCAACACAGCAACAGTTGGCTGCGCGGCAAGTACTTTCGAAGGAGTTGCCTATCTTCTCGGGGGATCCCATCGACTGGCCGCTTTTCATCAGCAGTTATCGACATTCTTCGGAAGCCTGTGGATATTCCGACTCCGAGAATCTACTTCGACTTCAACGTGCCTTAAAGGGAACCGCAAGAGACGCAGTGAGCAGCTTTTTGCTGCATCCATCCATGGTTCCACAGGTGATGTCAACGTTGCAGATTTTGTTCGGACGGCCAGAGCAAATCGTGCACACCATGGTTACGAAAATTAAAGCTACTCCCCCTCCAAAACCGGACAAGCTCGAGACACTGGTGAATTTCGGATTGGAAGTGCAGAATTTGTGCGGACATCTGAAGGCGGTTGGACTGGACTGGCATCTATCGAATCCCACATTGCTACAGGAGCTTGTCGACAAGTTGCCAGCGAACGTTAAGTTCAACTGGGCGATGTATCAGCAGCAGTTTCCGATGGTAGACCTCAACGTCTTCAGCGAGTACATGGCCCGTGTGACATCTGCAACCAGCAGCGTAACGCTATCTTGTATTCAGCAGAAGCATCCGAAGGATGACCGTACCAGAGCGAAGGAAAAGGCCTACGTGAATGCACACACCACTACGGTGCGAGATGGATCGACATCGGTGACCAATGGCAATAGGAATGCGGGAAAGGAGCGGTTTTTGAACGCGAGCGGCAAGAAAACGGAGGAACTCAAGAAATGTCCAGCGTGCAATGCGGGAGATCATCAGGCTGATGAGTGCTCTAAATTCAAGGGGCTTACTCTCGACAATCGTTGGAGCATTGTGAAGGAGCACAAACTTTGTCGACGATGTTTGAAGCCACATCTTCGTTGGCCGTGTAAAGGGGACGCCTGCGGAGTCAACGGTTGCCAGAAGTTACATCATCGCCTGCTGCACTACGAGCCATAGGCGGATTCAAGGGCAACCGAACAGATGACGAATGCTACGGTAACAATCCACCAGACGTCAGCGCCACTCACACTATTCCGAGTACTTCCTGTCACGCTTTACGGGAAATATGGTGAAGTCAACACCTTCGCCTTTCTTGACGACGGGTCCTCAGTGACTTTGGTGGAACGCACCCTGGCTGATTCTCTAGGTCTGGACGGACCAACGGAGCAGCTTTGCATCCACTGGACTAGCGGCATGAAAAAGAGAATATCGGACGCAAGAGTAGTACAGATGGAGATTTCTGCGCAGGGCAGCAACAAGTGTTTCAAACTCGAAGGAGCCTTCACAGTGGATGGTCTAGGACTACCAGAACAATCCCTGAACTTCGACGAGGTGGCAAACCAGTTCAAACACCTGAGGAAATTGCCTGTGCAGAGTTTCAAGTCAGCTGCTCCTGGAATACTGATTGGGCTCAACAATTCGCATCTGCTTGCTACACTGAAGCTGCGAGAAGGTCGTGCACAAGAACCGATAGCATCGAAGACGCGTATTGGCTGGGCTGTATACGGAAGCATACGAGGGGGAGATCAGCTGCAACATCGGCAGATGCATATTTGCGCTCATGCTGCCACCGCTGATCTACACGAATGTGTCCGAGAGTTCTTCACGCTGGAAAGCCTCGGGATTGCAGTGGTACCAAACATCGAAGGTGTCGAAGAGGAGCGAGCACGAAAGATTTTGGACGAGACTACAACGAGGACTGAGAGTCGGAAATTTGAAACGGGGTTGTTGTGGAAACACGACTATATCGAGTTGCCTGACAGTTGGCCCATGGCGGAAAAGCGTTTGAAATGTCTGGAGACCCGGCTGCAAAAGGATCCAGAATTGTACGCAACGGTTCGTAAGCAGATTTCTGAATTTCAGTTCAAGGGATATGTGCATGAAGCGACCACGGAAGAGTTGAGGAACTTCGATCTGCGGCGTACATGGTATTTGCCTCTCGGTATTGTGATTAATCCCAACAAACCCGGCAAGGTTCGTGTCATCTGGGATGCGGCGGCAAAGGTCGACGGCATTTCACTGAATGACCAGCTATTGAAAGGCCCTGATCTTCTGACTTCGTTGATGGCTGTTCTGTTTCAGTTCCGCGAGCGCGAAGTAGCAATATCGGCTGATATCATGGAGATGTTCCTCCAGATTCTCATCCGTTCCGCTGACCGCAGTGCTCTGCTGTTCCTGTGGAGAGATTCTCCAAATCTTCCCATCAAGGTTATGGTTACTGACGTGGCCATATTCGGGGCGACTTGCTCACCAGTTCAGTCACAGTTCGTAAAGAATCTCAATGCCACAGAATACGAGGGAATGTATCCGAGAGCGGCGTCGGCGATTAAAAAGAAACATTACGTCGACGACTACCTTGACAGTGTAGACACCATCGAGGAAGCGGTTCAACTAGCCACAGAAGTTACGACGGTACATGGGAAAGCTGATTTCTTCATCAGAAACTGGACGTCAAACCGAGCGGAAGTTCTCGAGCGAATCCGAGAAGACAATCCAGCTGCAGTTAAGAGATTTGCAGCGGGTAAGGATTGCAAGTTCGAGCGGTTGCTGGGAATAATTGGTCACCAGAAGATGACGTATTCTGCTTCGATTTGTGCTTACGTGAAGAGCTTCGACAACTAATAGACGGTGAAGTTGTTCCGAGTAAACGTGAGTTGCTGAGTGTGGTGATGAGTCTCTACGATCCCCTTGGATTGGTTGCTGCTTTCGTCATCCATGGGAAAGTGCTTGTTCAAGATACGTGGAGGGAAAACCTTGGCTGGGACGAAAAGATTCCATCGGAGATATTCTGTCGCTGGAATCAATGGTTGAAGGTACTAAGAGAGATGACCAAGGTGAAGATCAGCCGTTGCTATTTTCCGGGATACGATCCTGCCAGCTACGATTCGCTCCAGCTACACATTTTCGTCGATGCGAGCGAACAGTCCTTCGCTGCGGTCGCATATTTCCGAATCGTCGACAGGGGAGAGGTTCGATGCACCCTTGTCTCATCGAAGACCAAAGTAGCGCCCCTGCAAACACTTTCGATGCCGCGACTAGAGCTTATGGCGGCCTTAATAGGAGCTCGTCTGAGGCAAACCATCGTAGATCATCATTCCGTGAAGATAACACGCACCTTTTTCTGGAGTGATTCTACAACGGTAGTCGCTTGGATTAAGTCGGACTCACGTCGCTACCGCCAATTTGTCGCCTTTAGAGTCAACGAAATCCTGAGTTTGTCTGCGGTGGATGAATGGAACTGGATCGAAACGAAAACCAACGTTGCTGACGAAGCAACAAAGTGGGGCAAAGGGCCATCAACCGAAATCGAAAGCCGCTGGTATCGTGGACCTGCATTCCTGTACGACCGAGACGGTGAATGGTTAGAAGAAAACGTGGAAAATACAAACGAAGAACTTCGACCAGCATTCGTCTGTCCGCATTTCATCGTCAAGCCAACAGTCGAATTTAAACGCTTCTCCAAGTTCGAGCGTTTGAAGCGGAGCGTTGCGTATGTTCATCGATTCATCGACAATCTTCGTCGAGTTTCCAAGGGAACTACTCGAGAAACAGCTGTAGAGCTAAACAGAGATGAGTTACAGAAAGCGGAAATGACTTTGTGGAAGCTGGTACAATCGGATGCATATCCGGATGATGTGACAACGATGAAGCGTAACATGGATCCGGGAAACGAAGAAAAGCGATTGGAGTGTTCGAGTAAGATTGCAAAGTTGCCGCCGATGATGGATGAGAACGGAGTCCTTCGTGTAGACAGTCGGATCGGTGCGGCGGAGTATTTGTCGCTCGACGCAAGATACCCAATCATACTACCACGAGAACATCGCGTGACGGAGCTCCTGCTGGATTGGTATCACCGAGAATTTCGCCATGCTAATGATGAGACGGTGGTAAACGAAGTTCGCCAAAGGTTCTACGTAGGCAAGTTGAGAACATGCGTACGAATGACGAAGACTCGATGTACGTGGTGTCGAGTGTACAAGTCGGTTCCAGTGACGCCAAAGATGGGACCACTACCAACCGTGAGATTGACGACACATGTCCGCGCTTTCACTTTCGTCGGAGTCGATTATTTCGGGCCGTACTTAGTCAAGGTTGGACGGAGCGTGGCTAAACGTTGGGGAGTGGTATTCACGTGCTTGACAATAAGAGCCATACACATCGAGGTAGCAAGTAGCCTGACAACCGATTCATGCAAAAAGGCATTGCGTAGATTCATCGCTCGACGTGGAGCGCCGCAAGAGATTTACTCCGATAACGGTACAAATTTTGTTGGAGTCAGCCGGGAGTTGGAAAAGGAAACGAAGGACACTTATACGCAGTGGAGGTTCAACCCACCCTCAGCGCCACATATGGGAGGCTGCTGGGAACGGATGGTCCGGTCCATTAAATCGGCTCTTGGAGCGATTCCTTCGGAGCGTAAGCTGGATGACGAATCGCTGGCAACACTCTTCGCTGAAGCTGAGAAGATGATAAACTCGCGGCCGTTGACTTTCGTTGCTCTGGAGACTTCAGACCAGGAAGCGATAACTCCAAATCATTTCCTGCTGTTAAGCTCAACTGGGGTTCAGCAACCGATTAAGGCCCCGGTTAGTGAAGGAGAGTCGCTAAGAAGCAGTTGGAATATGATGCAGTACACGCTGGACAACATCTGGCGAAGGTGGATCACCGAGTACCTGCCGACGATAACCAGGAGGACTAAGTGGTTCCAAAATGTCAGGCCGATTAAAGAGGGTGAATTGGTAGTCATAGCGGATGAGAAGGTCAGGAATAGGTGGTTGAGAGGTCGGGTGGTGCGTACGTATCCTGGTAAGGATGGGACAGTGCGACAAGCTGAGGTGATGACTTCGGGTGGCATACTACGAAGGCCTGTCGTCAAGCTTGCACTACTGGATGTGGAACCGGAAGATGACGCCTAGCGGAAGCTGAGGCGACATGAGGGGGAGGATGTTGCGTGCAAGCCCCTCGGACAAGTGAGCCAAAAGGATGACCCAACCGGTACAACGAACGAACGTCAGATGTAGGGAGTATACATAGGTCTATTGTCTATTGTCTGATTGAAATTTGTTGATATTGTATGTGAAGTGAAATACTCGAGTGAGGAGAGAAAGAATTACCCTTAGCCGAATTTCGTAAGATTATTTACTAATTTGTTCCTATGAAATACCTTAAAACTATTGAATTTACAGACTAAACCTACAGATTAAAACTAGATCTTAAAGATCCGTATATTGTTCGCACCTAGAATTGTTTGGGCACTAAATTGTAAGTACGAATTTGTTGAACTATTCAAGCTGGTTAATTAATCAATAAAATTTACAGCTTGAGCCTGTCTTGAACCATAAAAGGACTTTGCTTCAAGAATCCCTAACGTTGCGAACAAAACGATTATTCAACTATGGTATAATTACTCCGAAAATACAAACGGGTTGCAGGGTTGTTATATCATATCTCTCTCGTTACTGATTGATGTAATTATTTCTGCCGCACGCACCCAACACATGTCTTTCCATGGGATTCGAACCAACCTTCCGATCACCAGCCACTTGCCTTGCCATCTGAGCTATCCAAGAATACATCATATGGGCAGCTAAATAATAAAAAATGCATATCAGCACTCCCAGTTGCAACTCTAGCTACTTCAAGGAGGGGGAATCAACTCTGCACACTGTGCCGAAACACAATATGACACACTGGCCGGCACGTTAAGGCACACGCTGATACGTATGACACGAAAAATATTATATAAAACGGCAACACTGTTGAGCGCTGACTTTTTTCTAACCGATTTACCCGTTGCGTTCATTACTCCAAATGTAAATATCCGTCAATACTGGTGCAACAGTGATTCATCCTAGAATTTAAAAAAAAATGATTGAACATCTGTTACCGGTCAATGGCTTTAAGCCGATTGGATTGTACAGCTTTTGCAATACACAAAATTTAATTTATAGGAAGCTAGATTATTACTTAATTGTTTGCCAGAGGAAGGCTCACCATTACTTAAATACCCATATTTGCATTATATACGTACATGTTGTATTTAGTCCATGTCGTATTTATATTATATTACTAAACATCAACAGGTGTTATTTGCCCCAATGATGTAACTTAAACTAAACATGAAAAGTACTAAAACAAAACATCAATAACTACATACATAGATAGTCATCTCGTAAAAAAAGGAACATTACTAAACAAACTAAACTGATCTAGAAAAAAAAACGAACTAAATCTCCGGCGAAGCAGCTGACGAGTCAGGTCAAAATCAAACAGTGCGGAGACCCTATTGAAGAGTCTCTGTAAACCACCGATTGCACCGAACATGCTATAATTAGTTCGCTGTATGGGCAGGCGCAGCATTGAATTATTCCGTAGGGCTCGGGGTTGAACATTGATGTCAATTTGCTCAAGGAGGACAGGGCAATCGGTGCGTCCTTGCAAAATATCCGCAATTAGCAATGCCCTTGCTGTATCTCTTCGGACCGACAGGCGCTCCAGATGGATCAGTTGCAAACGACTTTTGTAGCTAGGCAATCGGAAGGGATCCGTCCACGGCAGTTTACGTAGCGCATATCTCAGGAACCGTCGCTGAACAGACTCAACTCTTTCGACACCGTTGTTGTAGTGAGGAGTCCAGACAACCGAGCAGTATTCTAATATGGAGCGAGACAAGGAGCAGTACACCGATTTAAGGCAGTAGATATCCGTGAAGTCTTTGGCAATCCTGAAGATAAACCCTAGAATTCTGGAAGCTTAACCTCCATACGATTCAGAATACACTAATCAGCAAAAGCATTCAGCTGACGTTGAAGGAAGCAACAGTCTTCAATTGAGTGAATTCGGAGGTAGAGTTTAAGGTCATCTGCGAAAGATAATCGTGGTCCCTCAATTACCAGATTCACGTCGTTGAAATAAATCAGGAAAATCAGCGGTAACGTACGGGACTGGTGATCACCAATGACAACAGTAAGATAGCGATCGGTGAGGTACGACTGAAACCATTGCAAAAGGCAGTTGTGGATACCAAGCCTGTCCAGCTTAGCGATTGATATGCGATGATGCAATTTATCGAAGGCAGCAGATAAGTCAGTATAAATGACATCCGTCTGAGCACGATCCGACATACTGTTAGAGGTGTAGGAAGTAAGGCACAGCAATTTAGTGGCAGAGGAGCGACCAGCCATGAAACCATGCTGGTCGATACTAATATATGGCTTACAGTGAGCGAGTTCGAACAATTTAGCAACAGCGCTTATCGAAGTAATGCCACGGTAGTTGCCTTTTTTATGTTCTGGAAACATGTGCACTAGCTTCCAACAGAATGGAAAAACACCGACGTCCAAGGAATTCCGATGGAATTCCGTCAGGACCCGGATTGTACGACGACTTGAGTTTCGAGGAAGCCCTGAAAAACATCTCGGAATTGATGTCAATTCTGCTCATGGTTTGGCCAGAGAGTGGTACGTAACTGGCAGCCAGTCGGGCATGGTCGTTACTCAGTCTCTCGTGCGTGAAGACACTAGCAAATTTTTCAGAGAACAGCTGACAGATATCTTGCGTAGATGAGGTCACGTTACCATTATGTGTCATAGACGACGGCAGACCAGCTTCATGACGTTGTTCGTTGACAAACTTCCAAAACTGCTTGGGACGTGACTTAAGCTTTCTCTGCAATCCACGTCGATACTGAAGAAAGCTCCGTTTCGCAACTCGTTTGTATTCGTGATTGATCCGGACATAGTGACGTTGAAGGGATAGTTTGCGGTGCTTGGTGAATTTTCTAAGAGCGGCTCTCTTTCTGGATTTCAGTCGACGAAATTCGCTCGTATGCCATGGAGGATGGGTCGTATGATGAAAAATCTTTTTCGGAACGTGTCTGCCAATGATATATGCCAAGATATTGTCAACGGTGTCCAATAAGTCGTCCCAATCTAAATTGGAGAGTAACTCATCGATACTACCATGGTTGGCGTTGCGAAAATCGTAGGAAACGGTGGCAGGTGAAATATGAAAATCATCCATCAGCTTAGTACTTAACGTCACCAGTAGCGGCGGGTGGTGACGATCCAGTCTCACCAGAGAAGTTGGCGCCTCGCATAAGAAAGGAGCCATGTCCTGGGCGCTTACAAAACAAAGATCCAAACTGCGCTTGTTCTGGTTAATAACATGGTTGATTTGAGAAAGAGTGGCTGAGCTGTAATTGTCCAGAAGGAGCGAAGCGTAGGAATGGATGACAGAGTGATCCATGTCAGGATAGAGGAAACCGTTGCGAGTTTTTTTTCCATGAAATCCCCGGGAGATTGAAGTCACCAAACACAATAACTTCATCGGTTGCTTTGGCGGTATCCAGAACAGAGAAAACCGATTTGCAATCGGTTTCGATGAGGTCACGCTCCCGTATACGGTCGGGAGGAAAGTAAACCGCACAGAGAAACAGGGTACGATCGCCCAGTTTAATCGACGTCCACACCTGCTCTAAGCATGTCCAAGCATTATTTTCTAGTAACCTCGCTCTAAACCTAGAATTTATAACCACTAAAACACCTCCACCTTTAACTTTCCGACTATTAGCAGCATTCCTATCGCAACGGAAAACTTCATAATCGACGCCGAACACCTGACGAGAGAGCGTGCGTGAATCCAACCATGTCTCAGTGAGATTAATGATGTCGTAGCAAAGATCCGAGGTAGCTACGCGAAAATCGTCGACATCACAGTTGATACCATCGACGTTCTGATAATACAGCAGCAAGTCTGAAGGAGCAGGTATAGTTTCAATACGTCCTAGAGTCTGAGCAACTTGCGAAGGATGCCTTGATGGTGCAGGCGAATATTGGCTGGAAGCAATGAGCGGATCAGGAGTCGTTGAATCGATAACAGAAGTTGACTCGAGTTGGAAGACCCCTGCACTACTCCCACACGCAGGGCTGGGACGACTGCTGAACGCTGGCTGGAATGGCTCGACTGTGGTGGGAGGTACAAGGGCTTCCATGAGACCAACTTCGGTGCGTCCCAGTGTCCGGGTGAATTGTGATGGCTGATGAGGTAGAGCTGTCGGAAATTGGCTGCAAGCGATGAACGAATCAGGAATCATCGAGTACATTAAATTATTGTACTTGCCTTTGACGTTGAGTTAGAAGACCCCTGCACTACTCCCACACGCAGGGCCGGGACGACTACTGAACGCTGGCTGGAATGGCTCGACTGCGGTACCTATATTCAAACCACCTTTGTTCATTTGTGTTTAACATTAAATCTATCACCTATTTAATTCGTTACCCCGCCCGTTACCCGGTTGATGTAAAGCTTTGCATGTAGCTAAAAGTTATCGAAAACCGACAAACTAATCTAAACCACGCTTGCGTTATTTGTCCAATGATCATGATGTAAATAATAAAAAAAGACGGCAAAGTTCCGCACTAAAATTATCACAAAAATATAAATACTTATAAACCCACCGTGTGCAAATTACGTGCACACTTCACATCTCCGATGGAGCAAAATGGGATACGTTTTCCCATTTCCGGAAGCTAACCGGCAAAAGAGAGAGAGAGAAAAAGAGTTGAGAGGGAGAGTGTGAAAAGAAGAGGATGGGATGGAAGAAAAGTTGGGGATCAGCGAAGAGCAGAGTGTACGGAACTAACACCGAAGACGGAGGTACACGGAGATCGTCGCGAAAAGTGATTTTGATACCCTTCCCGAAGCCATCTTTGAAGGAATTTGGACCGTTCGTACATGAGGTGAATCTGAATATTCCCACGAAGGACCAATACATTTCGTGGAGTGTGTGGTTATTTGCACGGTGCGCGAGTGAGACTCTGGTTAAACCAGCGAAGAAAAGTGTCACGATTTTGCACGTATCTTGGTGTCATCTACACGCCAAATCACGGCCTCCTCGGTCGGGAGAAGGGTATCT